GCTCTCAGAAAAGCTGTCTCGGGTGTGGACCAATCCATTTCAAGGACAGTGCATACCTTATCAGAGTTGTGTGTTTTTTTTGCATTCCGACCGCAAGTATTGTGGTCAATGCAAACATGACTCCTTGTAAAAAAAGATGTCAGTTTTGTTGCCAGATAAAAGGGTAAAAAACCTATTATCATATTTTGCGACTGGCAAAGGAGGTTCCAATGGTGAAATTCAGACCTTATTGATCACCCCGTGCCCTTGAAAATCTCAACGTTCATCCTACAAAGTTCCAGATACACAAACGAATAGACGCAAAAACATTGCTTGTTTCGAAACGTCTTTACGCTGTGTACGAGAATACGGAGTAAACCGTACGGGTTGACAGGTACGGACTAACTGCGTTAACCACTGCGTTGCCATCGCCCAAACGTAAACTCGATGCCACTTTTCTCACCCGACTCCTTTCTGACGACGCAGGGTGTTTAGGCCTAACCAGAGCATCAACACGTTACCTCCTGCTGCCATGGCCACTGGGGGCTTGTACAGGTGAGTGGCCCGCACTCCTCTGCGCATGTGTAGTAAGTTGCAGGAGGCTTGGACGACGTAGTTGGAGGCACACTTATTTATTAACACCAACGTATTTACAGAGACGGGGATACACACAACACTCGAAGGGGTATCGGCCCCTTCACCCGTCTAACAGGGAGACCCAACGTCTAACCCGGCTAACCTACTCCCAGGTCCTCCACTACAGAGCTAAGGGAGGCTATCTATCCCAGCCCTGGTCAAGCTGGGATCACGGCACCCTGAGTCTCCAGACCGGCTCTTATAAGAACGTCAGTCTGGGCTCTCGGGGCCACGCCACCGGCTTTCCCCGGTCAGTCCTGACAAGGACAGCGAGCCAGGGGAGTTCCGGGGCCTACTCTAGCTGGTCTTCAATCTTCGCTGGTTAAAGCTAACACTCGACCCCGAGCCCTTCGGCTCACCACCTTTTATAGCAATCGCTCCCCCCGGGGGGGCGTGGGGGATGGCAGGTGCGGACGTCGATGTAAGCACCTTCTCTGCGTACAGCCATAACCATGCCCCTTGTGTTTGTTTCCCATCCGTACCAATACACCTCTACACATGTCCGCACCGCCACCGTGGCTACATCTCTACCCTCACCCCACGACAAGTGACACGTGGTGGAGTTGTGTAGCCTCTAACTGCCACCCCGAACCCTACCCCGCCCGTAAGAACGATGACTCTACCGCTTTTTTCTTCTTGGTTCTTTCGGTAAAGTCATCACGTAGAAGGGAAATAATAAAATAATAAAAATAAAATAATTCTCACGACGTTTCGGCCACAACGCAAGCAGCCGTCCTCGGGTGAAGAACAGGCCTGTCGGAAAGACAGCGTCATTCAGACGCTGTCTTTCCGACAGACCGTCATTCAGATGCTGTCTTTCCGACAGACCGTCTTTCCGACAGATCGTCATTCAGACGCTGTCTTTCCAACAGACCTGTTCTTCACCTGAGGACGGCTGCTTGCGTTGTGGCCGAAACGTCGTGAGAATAATTTTATTATGTTTTATTATTTTATTATTTTATTATTTCCATTCTACGTGACTTTACCGAAAGAACCAAGAAGATGAATCCCTGCAGTCACGAAAGCTTTAAATTGAGACTCTACCACTAACGCGACCCTTCACAATACATTTACCACTAACCCTAACTTCACCATGAAGCCGACCTCTAACCCTACCCATAACAATAACTATTATCACTAATCCTACCCCTAACCAAACCTCTAACCCTCCCTCTACCCCTAACTCTAACCCTACCTCTGCCGTTAACCATACCTCAAACCATACCCCTAAAACTACCCATATCAATAACTATTATTACTAAGCTTTAAATCAAGATATTTTTAAATCCTTTATATTAAGTTCACTTGCTTGCGTGCTTGCTTGCTTGCTTAGGACCGTGCAAATCTTTCGGTCGTTTTTTAACCCACTTCCCGTGATCCAATCGAGCTGACATTTTGCACACAGACTCGTTGTGCGTGACAATTAATTTTCGTGAAATTTTTTTTCTCCAAAATTTTACACTTTGGGGAATTTTTTTAAAAATATTTAATTACCAATTGCTTAATGGTGGCAGACAATCATCTGACCCATAGGTGGCAGCCATCTCAAGCCAGAGGACGAGAGGACTCTAGCCGCCACGCATATAAAGGATTTATAGTGAAAAACTTTGTTTTTACGGGTTCATTTTTTACTCACCCTAGCTTCTAACCGTACCTCTAACCCTGCCTCTAACTCTACCTGCACCGCTAACCCTACCCCCCCAATAATCACCTTACCACAAACCCTACTTTCACCACTAACCCCCCTACCGTTACCACAACAATAACCCAACCCCCTAACTCTTAACCCTACCCGGACCCCCGAACCCTCCTTAAACTAAAACTACTTTGCGCCCACCTCTTCCACTGCCTTGACATATAACACCTCAATCCTGTCTCTTCCCCTACCTCTGCCCGCACCTCTACTCCTAGCCACTATTACTCGCACAACCCCGGCACCCTTTTCTCTCGGCCATAACCCTAGCTCGGGGGCGCGCGGTCCTTTAAGGACCGCCGTTTCGCGACGTTGTTTGACAAGGACCGCCGGCTCGTACTTCGCCGCGTGCACTGTGCGGCTCTTGAATGCGTCGAGTTTTTTAACCCTCTCCTAGACCGTTACCCTACCCCTTGCCGCCGTATCTGCGTGCGGCTAGAGCAGTGGTTCTTAACCTTTTTGGAGGTACTGAACCCCACCAGTTTCATACGCGCATTCACCGAACCCTTCTTAAGTGGAAAAATAAACTATGATTTTTTCAAATTCGAAACATAGGTGTATATGTTTTACTGGTGCACAATCATATGAGTCGGGTGTGTGTCTTGACCTCCGCCGAACCCCTGAGACTGACTCGCCGAACCCCTGGGGTTCGATCGAACCCAGGTTAAGAACCACTGGGCTAGAGTCTGGTTTCTCTTCTCGTTTTAGGTCGGCGATTGCGAAGGGCAAGGAAACGGCCTTCCCTGCCTCCGCTGCTTCTCCCACCGCCTCCCGCTGCGCTCGCGTGAGGAAGATCGGTGCGTGATCGGAGCGCGCACGGCGGGCAAAATGACCGAGGGTCGACGGCCGTTATGAACCCTCTGACGGAGAGACAGAGAGAGTGCCCAGACCCCCAGGGCTTGAACTCAGAATCTCAGCAGTGGTGGCTCATTGTGGCCGACAACAGCCGTTATGAACCCACGGAGAGAGAGAGACACCCAGACCCAGGGCTTGAACCCAGAATCTCAGCAGTGGTGGCGGATTGTATCTGACAACAGCCATTATGAACCCACGAAGAGAGAGAGACACCCAGACCCAGGGCTTGAACCCAGAATCTCAGCAGTGGTGGCTGATTGTATCCGACAACAGCCGTTATGAACCCACGGAGAGAGAGACACCCAGACCCAGGGCTTGAACCCAGAAGCTCAGCAGTGGTGGCTGATTGTATCCGACAACAGCCGTTATGAACCCACGGAGAGAGAGAGACACCCAGACCCAGGGCTTGAACCCAGAATCTCAACCGTGGTGGCTGATTGTATCCGACAACAGCCGTTATGAACCCACGAAGAGAGAGAGACACCCAGACCCAGGGCTTGAACCCAGAATCTCAGCAGTGGTGGCTCATTGTATCCGACAACAGCCGTTATGAACCCACGGAGAGAGAGAGACACCCAGACCCAGGGCTTGAACCCAGAATCTCAGCAGTGGTGGCTCATTGTATCCGACAACAGCCATGATGAACCCACGAAGAGAGAGAGACACCCAGACCCAGGGCTTGAACCCAGAAGCTCAGCAGTGGTGGCTGATTGTATCCGACAACAGCCATGATGAACCCACGCAGAGAGAGAGACACCCAGACCCAGGGCTTGAAAAAACTTACTAATTGGCTGTGTCGGGTGGTGGCGGGTTTAACGACAACATTCATATTTACGCGATCTAACCAAAGAAAACCTCTTGTGGAAAATATTGGTCGCGAAAGGCCCTATGTGTTAATCTGGTTAATAGCGTGCGGTTTGTAGTAACCGTCAGGCACTGCTTCAGAGTGGACGTCAAAGGAACCCCGTGGCGTTTACATTTGACGAGCTTTACTACCTGGCTTCGCCCGAGACTTGGATTCTTGTCCTGGATTAATGATGTCACCGCTCACTTGCCGTGCAAAATATATCCATTATTGCGCCCCCCCCCCCCAAAATACAAAAGTCAACTTTTATACTTGTTGCATTGTGTACAGTCTAGAAGCTACCCACATGCCAATTTTCAAGTTTGTTGGGAAGTATACTAAATATTTCGAACAGACACACACATTCACAAATTTCCCTTTTATATATATAGATGAAGAGCAGGCCGTTGTGTGCCGGTGTCACGGCTCAAAATGTGGCTGAATATGAGTAGGCAAACGCTGTTGAGCGCGTGGCGTTGAATCTAAACGTGGAGGGGGGGAAAAGAAAGCCACGCGACCACGGGGAGAGAGAGAGAAAGACACGCAAACTCCAAATATACAGCAGCAGGCGTCAGGGTCGGGATCTAACCCACAACCTCCTGTACACCAGGCGAGGGAGTTAACTTCTCCGAGCCACCGTGATGATGATGAGAGAGAGAGACACGCAAACTCCAAATATACAGCAGCAGGCGTCAGCGTCGGGATGGAACCCACGACCTCCTGTACACCAGGCGATGTAGTTAACATCTCTTAGCCACCGTGATGATGATGATAGAGACGCAAACTCCAAATATACAGCAGGCGTCAGGGTCGGGATCGACCCCACGACCTCCTGCATACCAGGCGAGGTAGTCAACATCTCCTAGCCACCGTGATGATGATGAGAGAGAGACACGCAAACTCAAATATACAGCAGCAGGCGTCAGGGTCGGGATCAAACCCACGACCTCCTGTACACCAGGCGAGGTAGTCAACATCTCCTAGCCACCGTGATGATGATGGGAGAGAGAGAGAGACATGCAAACTGCAAATATGCAACAGGCATCGTCAGGGTCGGGATGGAACCCACGACCTCCTGCATACCAGGCGAGGGAGTTAACAATTAGCCACCGTGATGATGATGCGAGAGAGACACGCAAACTCAAAATATACAGCAGGTGTCGGGGTAGGGATGAAATCGACGACCTCCTGTAGACCAGGCGAGGGAGTCAACATCTCCTAGCCACCGTGATGATGATGAGAGAGAAACATGCAAACTCCAAATATACAGCAGCAGGCGTCAGGGTAGGGATGGAACCCACGACCTCCTGTATACCAGGCGAGGGAGTCAACATCTCCGAGCCACCGCGGAGCGCCCGACAGGGCCACAAAGTTGTCTCGAGACGAATGTGTTTCAAAAAAACATTATTGACCCGTTTCGTTTTGTTCCGTGTCGTTTCACCTCTTGTCGGGCGTGCAGGAGGCAGCGGCGGCGGCGGCAGCGGCAGTGGCGGCGCAAGGAAAGTTGGGAGCATCGCCATCAAGAAGCGTCCGTCGCTGGCCATGTGAGGTGCGCCGGGACAAACGTGAGAGCCGGGGGCATCTTGTTCGTAACCTCGCCCCGGCCATTAACCGACCGGGGTAACCAACGACTTTAAGAAATGTTTATTTTACCAGCGAAGGCCCCCGCTTAGCTGTGTAGCTTTTTTTTTTATCAGAAGCGACCCTGGCTATCGCAAATGGTAGGTCAACGAAGTGTCTGATCATCATCGTCATCATCGTCGTGTGGAAATTTCTAGCAGCCAAATACTCGTTGAGTCTTGAACGTGGAGGGAAAAACCGGAGTACCCGGAGAAAGATCCACGCGGCCACGGGGAGAGAGGCACTCAAACTCCAAATCTACAGCAGGCGTCAGTGTCAGGATTGAACCCACGACTTCCTGCATACCAGGCGAGGTAGTTAACATCTCCTAGCCACCGTGGCGATGATGATGATGAGAGAGAGAGAAGCAAACTCCAAATATACAGCAGCAGGCGTCAGTGTCAGGATTGAACCCACGACTTCCTGCATACCAGGCGAGGTAGTTAACATCTCCTAGCCACCGTGATGATGATGAGAGAGACACGCAAACTCCAAATATACAGCAGCAGGTGTCAGGGTCGGGATCGAACCCACGACCTCCTGCATGCCAGGCGAGGTAGTTAACATCTCCTAGCCACCGTGATGATGATGATGAGAGAGACACGCAAACTCCAAATATACAGCAGCAGGCGTCAGTGTCAGGATTGAACCCACGACCTCCTGTATACCAGGCGAGGTAGTTAACATCTCCTAGCCACCGTGATGATGATGATGAGAGAGAGAGAGACACGCAAACTCCAAATATACAGCAGCAGGCGACAGGGTCCGGAACGAACCCACGACTTCCTGCATGCCAGGCGAGGTAGTTAACATCTCCTAGCCACCGTGATGATGATGATGATGGAAGAGAGACACGCAAACTCCAAATACACAGCAGCAGGCGTCAGGGTCGGGATGGAACCCACGACCTCCTGTACACCAGGCGAGGTAGTTAACATCTCCTAGCCACTGTGATGATGATGATGAGAGAGAGAGAGACACGCAAACTCCAAATATACAGCAGGCGACAGGGTCCGGAATGAACCCACGACCTCGTGCATGCCAGGCGAGGGAGTTAACATCTAGCCACCGTGATGCCCAAGTTGTGCTTGTATGCCAATGCAGCAGCAGCAGCGTCGCCAAATCATTCACCGTAATAGCCGTCGTGTCGCAGCGCCACTGCCATGTTCAGTCTTCCATCTCCTCGAAGCCAAAGGGGTCCCCCCAGTATTGCGAGGGGTCAGCTACGCGGATAGGGGCGCTGTACGTGTGACATTAAGCATGGGGAAATCATCTCGGATTTAAGCACCTTCCTGTGTGGAGTTTTGAATGGCCTCCACCTGTCCTGCAGAGTGAGTAGACTTTGTATGGCTTCCACCTGTTCTACAGAGTGGAGTTTGTGTGATCTCCCCCTGTTCTGCAGAGTGAGTGAGTGGAGTTTGTATGATGTCCCCTGTCCTGCATGGGTTTCCTCCAGGTCCTCTCTCGGATGAAACCCATTAATAATCAAAACGTGCTCCTATAAACTGAGTCAGGGTTAGGGGTGGGGGATGGTGGTGTTTGGGATGGCACCTCAGCGGTGTTCACACCGAACCCCGTGAACCGGAGTTGTATTCCTCGTCCTACGGCTAACATCGGTGGCGAGCGATAACAGCGATAGCCAATTACACTTTTAAATATCGAATCCAGCCCAGCCGGAGCCATCGCCCTTCTCCCGACCCTCCCCCCGCCCCCAAACCCCCTTCCCGCCCCGCGTGCCGTGCCACCAGCCCGCCCTGACCCTGACCAGCCCGGTGAAGTACGGTCCGCGCGTTCCCCCGCCCGCCGGGTGCCGTAGCGGCAGCGCCATTTCTCCGCCGTGACACTCTTGACCGCGGCGATACGTTTGGTGGCCGCGCTTGCCGCAGCCCCGACGTGGCCGGCGTTTACGCCCCCCTTTACCCTCCCTGCCCCCCCCCAAAGGATTGCGTTTTTTCTGCGGCCACGTTTACAAACGCACGGCGGTGGCGGGTGGGGGGCTGTTTGGCCACGAAACGCAGGCGGTGAGGTGGAGTCTGATGATGCCCCGCGCCCCCCCCCGCCCCCGCCCCGCATTCTTCTTGGTCGTGGCTCTGGCTCAAGTGAGCGCGAGGCTCAACAAGCGTGCCAGCCGCGCGCTCAACTCGGGGGCCGGCTCTTGAGCCACGGTCTCCCAGCAGCCACCGCGGCTCTGGGTGCAGACCCACGAGCTGAGCCAGTGCCGAGCCACGGCTGAGTCGCTCACTCGAGGTGGCTTTGAGAACAGCTGAGCTACAGCTGAGCCACGGCTGAGCCACGGCTGAGCCACGGCTGAGCTACAGTTGAGCTACAGCTGAGCCACAGCTGAGCCACAGCTGAGCCACAGCTGAGCCACGGCTGAGCCACGGCTGAGCCACGGCTGAGCCACGGCTGAGCCACAGCTGAGCCACTCACTTTGAGAGAATCTCAGCGGCACAAGCCCTCGATGAGCCAGAGCCGAGCCACGGCTGGGAATACAGTCCCAGAGGGTTACGTCATTATTATTATAATCATCATCATCATCAATCCATCCCCATCACTACTAAGATTTCTAGCACTTAAATCAAAACTTTGTATCTTCGGCACTACCACTATCATCATATTACCACCCCAATCGACTGCATCACAATCGCCGCCATCACCAATTGCTAATGTCAGTCATTACAGCCACTGTCGCCATGATGACCCACCACCGCTAATACAATCATAACCACAATGTTCAGAGCCGCTATCACTACCACCACCACCACCACCATCATCATCATAACCACCATTACCTGCACAATGATCACTGTCATCACCAAACAACAATACTACCAAAGACATCTTAATCACAATCACCACCATCATCATCATAACCACCATTACCTGCACATGATCACTATCATCACCAAATAACAATACTACCAAAGACATCTTAATCACAATCACCACCATCATCATCATAACCACCATTACCAACACAATGATCACTGTCATCACCAAACAACAATACTACCAAAGACATCTTAATCACAATCACCACCACCACCACCATCATAACCACCATTACCAGCACAATGATCACTATCATCACCAAACAACAATACTACCAAAGACAAAGACACCTTAATCACAATCACCACCACCACCACCACCAACTACCTTGACCAGACTCTCCATCACCACTCCCACAGTCATAACCACCACCGTCGCTAGTAGCACATTGCTACCACAATCGCAAGCACCACCATCAGCTACTAACTAGTCACTAGACGGACAAAGATCCCCCGTGTAGCCTTAACAGACTGTCGGGGCAAGTGCTGTTAGCGAGTAGAATTTATGAAGCCCAGCATGGCACACGAGGGGTGGGTGGCCAGCACCACACCCGGCCGCCTTTGTCTCCCCAGTGGAGATGTTTACTACACCGCTTCAGGTACTCATTTGAGGCTAAGTCAACCTAGGGGAGGCCTAGGACCGGTTCAGATAATCGTCACCGGTGTTGGCCGTGAGCGGGAATCGAACTCTGGTCGTCAGTTTCGTAGCACAGCGCGTTTGACCGCTGCACCACCGCTCTCCACCGCCACCAACACGGTCATCACGACCACCACTAGCACCACCACCACCACTAGCACCACCACCACCACTAGCACCACCACCACCATTAGCACCACCACTAGCACCACTAGCACCACCACTAGCACCACCACCACTAGCACTAACCACTAGCACCACCACTAGCACCAGCACTAGCACCAGCACTAGCACCAGCACTAGCACCACCACCACCACTAGCACCACCACCACCACTAGCACCACCACCAGCACCACCACTAGCACCACCACCACTAGCACCACCACTAGCACCACCACCACTAGCACCACCACTAGCACCACTAGCACCACCACCACTAGCACCACCACTAGCACCAGCACCACCACCACTAGCACCACCACTAGCACCACCACTAGCACCACCACTAGCACCACCACCACCACTAGCACCAACACCACCACTAGCACCACCACCACCACTAGCACCACCACCACCACTAGCACCACCACCAACACCACCACTAGCACCAACACCACCACCACTATCACCACCAACACCACCACTAGCACCACCACCAACACCACCACTAGCACCAACACCACCACTACACCACACCACTAGCACCACACACCACCGTCGCATCGACATCACACGCTCGGCACTTGAAGTGTGCATACAGCGCTACGCGATGCAAACGTCCCCCCCCCCTCTCCTCTCGTCATTCGCTCGAGAATGTAACGTGCAAATCCGTTCGCGTGCCGTACCGTAGCCAAACCGTGCCAATCCGGGAGGTGTGAAATCCGCGTCGTTTGCGTAATTTAAAAAAATATATTTTTTGTTAATTTTGTCGGGGGAGACGCTGCACTTTGTGCGTTGGAATTGGCAGTAACAGTCCAGTCCGCCCCTTCTGTTTTCGACGTCGCATCTCGTGACATTATTTTGTTGTTATTTACGGGTGTCTCTTGGTCGTTTACGCTAGGCGCATGGTGCGTTCTCATTTTAATTTGATGTTATTTATTGCGCGCTGACCGACTCGCGTGTAAGAGCGCGCGCGTCGCTTTGCCTGGGTGTGGCTTGTTTTAAAAACTTTTAAGTTATTAAAGTTGTGTTTTGCAGTGGATGAAGTGTACGTATTTTTTCTTTTTTGCTTTTGTAAAAGAAAAGTTGGGTTTTTTTTTTGTTGCCACGGGCTATTCTTGACCAAGGAATGAGGAAACGCGGCATTGGGAATGACAGCCTTTAGGAGAATTCTTACCACTACTGGGACATCTCTGAAACTAACTGGACATCTGTGAAAGAGCTTAATAGCTCATCGGATTTCTCCAGTATAAATATTATTCTGAATAGCAATGTAAACATCGGCACAATGAATACGACAGTACAAATAATGAGTGCATTCATAATCAACGTTTTTGGGTTTAGATTGCGTTATTTATAAATGTTTCGTAACCCTCCACCGCCCGACACGGCCTATCAGTAAAAAAGTGTCACGTTGACAAAAGACAAATAGTTCACTGCTTTAGCCCACCGGTGTGTTGAAGTGTGAAACCACAACATTTATAATTTAAGTAAAAAAAATGAGTGCATGTCCGTGTGTGTGAATTTTGTCCGTGTGTCACTTAATTTGGCTAAATTCCAGCTGTCACAATAAAAAAAAAAGTCAGTCCGACTGTCATACCCACGACCGTCAACTCATGGGCCAGAGTGTGTGGCAACGTGCTGCCACTTTACCGTGCGTGGATCTCGGAGGTAGATCTGTGATCACCACTTCCACGGGACGTTGAGTGACGAGAGAGCCACTTGATGGAGGTGATCTCGGAGGTAGATCTGTGATCACCATTTCCACGGGACGTTGAGTGGACCAGAGAGCCACTTGATGGAGGTGATCTCGGAGGTAGATCTGTGATCACCACTTCCACGGGACGTTGAGTGGACCAGAGAGCCACTTGATGGAGGTGATCTCGGAGGTAGATCTGTGATCACCATTTCCACGGGACGTTGAGTGGTCGAGAGAGCCACTTGATGGAGGTGATCTCGGAGGTAGATCTGTGATCACCATTTCCACGGGACGTTGAGTGGACCAGAGAGCCACTTGATGGAGGTGATCTCGGAGGTAGATCTGTGATCACCACTTCCACGGGACGTTGAGTGGACGAGAGAGCCACTTGATGGAGGTGATCTCGGAGGTAGATCTGTGATCACCACTTCCACGGGACGTTGAGTGGACGAGAGAGCCACTTGATGGAGGTGATCTCGGAGGTAGATCTGTGATCACCACTTCCACGGGACGTTGAGTGCACGAGAGAGCCACTTGATGGAGGTGATCTCGGAGGTAGATCTGTGATCACCACTTCCACGGGACGTTGAGTGCACGAGAGAGCCACTTGATGGAGGTGATCTCGGAGGTAGATCTGTGATCACCACTTCCACGGGACGTTGAGTGGACCAGAGAGCCACTTGATGGAGGTGATCTCGGAGGTAGATCTGTGATCACCACTTCCACGGGACGTTGAGTGGACCAGAGAGCCACTTGATGGAGGTGATCTCGGAGGTAGATCTGTGATCACCACTTCCACGGGACGTTGAGTGGACCAGAGAGCCACTTGATGGAGGTGATCTCGGAGGTAGATCTGTGATCACCACTTCCACGGGACGTTGAGTGGACCAGAGAGCCACTTGATGGAGGTGATCTCGGAGGTAGATCTGTGATCACCACTTCCACGGGACGTTGAGTGCACGAGAGAGCCACTTGATGGAGGTGATCTCGGAGGTAGATCTGTGATCACCACTTCCACGGGACGTTGAGTGGACCAGAGAGCCACTTGATGGAGGTGATCTCGGAGGTAGATCTGTGATCACCACTTCCACGGGACGTTGAGTGGACGAGAGAGCCACTTGATGGAGGTGATCTCGGAGGTAGATCTGTGATCACCACTATCACGGGACGTTGAGTGGACGAGAGAGCCACTTGATGGAGGTGATCTCGGAGGTAGATCTGTGATCACCACTTCCACGGGACGTTGAGTGGACGAGAGAGCCACTTGATGGAGGTGATCTCGGAGGTAGATCTGTGATCACCACTTCCACGGGCTGTTCACTAACAACACAGAGGGGCTTGCCACCGGGCTCCCAAGATTTCCGAAACGGAATTGTTTTGGAGGTCGTGACGCCGTTGACACGCCGGGGTGGTGATGACGAGTTTAAAAATCGCTGGCCGCGTTTTTTCGGGTTGAATTAAGGATGTGAGTGGTGGCTGCGGTATTTTCCGGAAATACGGAAACACACTCAATGCATCTTCTTGGTTTTTTCGGTAAAGTCACGTAGAAGGGAAGTAATCAAATAATAAAAATAAAACATAATAAAATAATTCTCACGACGTT